CGAGGAGATTGAATCGATGGGCATGACACTTCAAAGATCAATTCAACTGGACTTCAGCCACACTTCGGTTACCCACGATCTCCAGTCATCCTGAATGGCCAATCGATTTAAGTCATCTGAATCTTTATGAAGTTGAAAAAGCCATAGGAAATCTGAAGCGAGGGAGAGCTGCGTGTCCTGATAGACTGACTCTATGATTTTTAGGGACGGTGGTCCAGTTTTAACAGCTAGATTGACTGAGATCTTAGGTAGAATCTGGGAACTGGGCGTAATACCATCTGACTGGTCTCAATCGCTGGTTGTCCCGATTTATAAGAAATGACACAAGTCCTCTTGTGACAGTCACAGGGGCACCAGTCTAACTAATATAGTATTTAAAATATTGTCTAACTGGAGCTCGTGAGGAGCAGACCAGGGGAAACTAGGCTGGTTTTTGATCTGGACGTGGCTGTATAGGCCAGATATTCACACTATGTCATGTCCTGGAACACAGAAACGCTTTCGGCATCCGACAATAGTTGTCTTCCTGGACCTTAAGGCGGCATTCGACTCTGTGCATCATCAGGTTCTATGGCAGTGTTGGTCATTGAAGGGTGTAGCAGAGAAGTACATTAACCTTGTACAAGCTCTCTACCCAAACACTACAGTTGCGTCGGCACCTGAACTAGTGGTAGGGAATGAAGCAGTTGAGCGTGTTGACCGCTTCACTAATCTCGGGAGTCTCATCAGTGCTGATGGCCTGGTGACTGACGCAATCTCAGCACGGATACAGATGACTCGACGGACTTTTGCCAACTTGCGTCATTTGTGGCGTTGGCGTGATATCCTTTCGGTAACCAAAAGAAGAGTCTATTGAGCAGCAGTTCTCTCCGTCCTACTTTATGGCTGTGAACTATGGCCAGTAAGAGTAGAAGATATTCATAGGTTACTGGTTTTCGATCATATGTGTCTCCGAAGCATTGCTCGTGAATCCTGGGACAACTGAGTGAGCAATGCTGTCATTAGGAAACGAGTAAGAATGGCAGATCAATAGATGGAGTATTGAATCTTCATCAGTTGAGGTGGTTGGGACATGCATTGCGTATGTCTAACCACCGACAGCCTCGTCGAGCTATATTTTACGGTGTAGGAATAGGTCGGAAGAAAGCTAGGGGCGCCCGGACCAAAAAAACAGAAATGCTTGAAGGCACTGACAAGTGGACTGAGCCCTGTTGGTATGTGTCGACTACCTGGTTGGGGTCGCGAGATGTTAATAATCGATCGTTAGAGACTCTAAATGACATGGTTCAAAACCGTTTGATATGGCGCAGGTGGATTCATTCTTTGCGTTTTCTCAAACCCTAAACTTTTTATTTCCTCATCACTTTGTCTTTGTCTTTTTTGAAGTCTTTTTCACTAGTTTCTACTTCTTGAATAATATCTTCTAATTCTAACCTCTCCGACTGCTGCTAATACCTTTACTACCTCTACTACTATTGGACAACCACACCAAAAATGGCAGCTCTATAACTACATACGCAATCAAAATCCGAGCACATTATTCTTCTTTTTCAAGGGTTTTTGCACAGCTTTTATTCAGCGCTAATTCAATGAGTATTTTTAGTCGATTCTGGGTTTCTTTAAACGTTTCTGACCGCTGTTGAGTTGTTTACTGGTAATCAGAACCAATATCAACTTACACACCTTAACCAGAACCCAGATGCCAAAATTGAAAATTTAGTATGACCGTATTATTCAATATTAAACATATAAAGGAAGTGTTTCGAGTTTCCATTACCGTTGATTTCTTCAAGTGTTCGAATGTATTAATATTAAAATCAATCACTCACTCAACGGTCTGATCCCCAAATATTTGCTGTTTGCTACGTTTCTCAAAAGCTCGTGTTCGAAGCCTTTTCGACATACATACATATACTCTTAATAATACAAAGATGTTGCAGGAATGATGGAGGAATCCTAGTGTATTACTGATATAAGACTGATCCATTACCATATGTGAAATTAACATATTGATATACATACGTTTTCTTACATGATTAGTTGTCCAATGTTTTTCGTAGTTCGCAGTTATAGGAAAGTATCCCAATAATGATGAGAGTAAAAAGTACAAAAAGATAATATTATCTTAAAATCTAGGAGTCATTCTATATGTATACGATATTTGCTTTTAGTAAAATGCATGCGACACAATTTTTGTCAGACTTTTCATTATAACAAAGAGAATTTCGAAATGTTGAACAAGAAATATTTATGTAGGATACATATATATCAGATAGCAAACTTACAACAGTCAGCGGGATATAAGTTTTCTTATTTAGAAATTTCCAATTAAAATATCTGCATACACTTGGAAAGATATTTGTACTAGTGTTCACAATTAAAACTTTTAACATACCAAGTACTAATAATAGGTTATAATAGGCAAATCAGTGATCCAGACCTATAATGACATCTACAAGGTAATAGGAGTAAATACATGTTTATGAGTCTTGATTATGTTGAAATGAAACGCTTGCGTATTGAAATTAGCAGCACGAAATAAAAAGGGAATAGCTTTATGATTTGAAAGTAACCAGCTAAATGTAGGGAATCGCTGAAGGTAGAAATATTCTTATAATTATTGGCTTCTAATTTAACTCACTAGATGAGTGAATAACTTATGACCAGTTCGAAGTATAAAAATTCGTCTTGCGCACCCTGGTTAATATGAATCAGTCACTTACTCACCAAAAGGCACAATGATCCAGGCTACATTGTGTAGTTGTCTTATGCATACGCACAAGATCACTAATTTGCACGGCCCTGTTAAACCCACAGAAACGCAGGTCATATAAGTTCATATTTTTCTCGAAGAACTAGCAATCCTCTCCATACATTTTTGAACTATTTCATTCCTTATCCTGGTTTGACTGATTTCGGGATGCATGATTATAAAGGTATTACTTATTGAAATGTTGTACATCTTAGAATTTTCATGACAACTAAAGGTGGTTATCCTCCCATAAAATACTTCAGACGGAAAGTCAAGTTGTAATTCCCAACAGGAAAATTTTATGGCGCATGTTTCGTCTGATTTGTTTATTGAAACTGTCTGCTGTCGTCATGGTAAGAGGCGAAAGTTTAAACTGAGACTTTTGTGCTTCTTATCCCGCTTTCCCAATTCTTTAAACTAACAAGTTTTTGGTATATGATTTTAGTTCATCGTCTTTTTAATAAATATTAGTGCTTCTTGTGAGCTAGACAGGTTGTTGGCTTACTTCTACTTTTGTACTTTTTTCTGGTCCCTTCCGCTTTCTCATTGAATGCCCCCGTATTGCACAATGTACCGTCTGTCCAGACAAAAATTGATGCAATCTTTGTAACATTTGCAACATGATGAAAAACTATCTATGATATGTGAAAGTTGTTAAAATCCGCAATTTGTATTGTGCAATTGCTTTTATTTGGAAGTCATGTACGTTGAAATTTGATAAAAATGTAAGTGTGATTTTAATTTTTGGGTGACAATTGGAAATTTTAAGCGGAGAAACAGCAATAGGGGATGTAATAAAGAATATTGTCGCTTAACTTATAGTTTGGTGGAGTTTTTTCACAGAATGAAAACATCGCAATCGGTCGACCTAAACTATGGTTCTAGCACCATTTTCATTGTAACTGTCTTCACCATTTGCCTAGTGACAAGCCTCTGTTACAAAACTGGAAATCCAATTGATCACCTTCGAGATGCTACAGTTCATCACTACCACCTCCCAAAGCTGGTTGTATTGATTCAGGTGTATCTGTTGTGTTGCAGAAGACAAAAATCTTGGATCAGTCGTTCTCTCTACACATATGTACCTGGACAAAGTAATAACCCTCTTGTGATATCAGTGAAATTCATTCATAGCAATAGTCGTTTCAATTCAAACTTTTGGAATAGATTAAAAATATGATTAGTACATTTCGCTGATGAACTTCGTTAGCAATGTATGGATACTCTGAAACAAATGGCGAGAATGCCCAGTATCGTTGTATCGAACTAATATTAACCGGGTTTGGTAGCTTTCACTTGTGTTAATAAAACAAATAGTTTTGTTGAATTTGACAGTAATTTGTGAATCTGAACTTTATGGGTCTAAGTATTTGCCAACTAAGTCAAGGAGTGATAGCTTAACAATTGTTCTTAGAAGTAGGAAAGTAAATACCACGATAATAAAATTAGCCGATTGATCTATCAAGACGACAGTTAAACTTGAAATTGCTCAGTTCCTTGACGTTTTACAAGAAGTTTCGCTGAAAATAGCAAAATCACAATGTCTGAGTTACTACTGCCAGCTGTGAATATAAGAAACAAAACGATCGTAACACCTGAAGAAACAACTGTTAAAGTCACATTTTTGAGTAGAATATTACTCCCAAACACTAATAGTATAATAGTGAAGATGTGTATATCTGAAACAGTCCCTAAAGTATTCTATGAACTAATATCAGTGTTTTCATTTCCATGACATGTTCTCTGGATTGATACTAAATTCACAGTGTAAAATGACAGACACGTACGGAAGTAAAATCAAGGCTTCTTAGGATGCTAAAGATTAAAAAGCTTAGTTACTTTCCTAAAGGATATAGAGCGTGTATTTGAACAAGACACCAATGTGGTTCAAAAATAACAGCACCATATTTAAAAGCCAGCACTAAATGCCTAACATCCTATCACTTGAAAAACAATCAAGCTAGGATTTGTGTGAGTGCTAGATAGTAAAACTAATTTGAGTTAGTAAGTTAGAAGTCTATTAATGTCAAAAATTACATTATAAACTAATTAAAGATGTTTACCATAGAAACATCCCATTGCCAAAAACCCTAGATAAAGTTTAAAAAATATATATCGAATTTCAATAAATCTGAGAATTCTCACATTTCCAATAAACCCATAGATCAAAGAATCTCTTAGTTTTCAAATTTTCTTTTTTCTAGATATACCCAGAAAAAAAATAGATTTGAACTAATAGTTCTAATTAATGTCGAAATCAGTTAGTGGCAAACGTAAGAGCAAAGTAAAGGACTCTGTGAATGAAGCATTAGAAAAAACCCAAAAAGACGTGAAAAATTTGCGGGAAGAAGTAAGCAGAGAAATATTTATTGCAGAAAATGCAGAAAATCGCCGCTGTCAAGCATATTCTGAAAGACTGGAGTCAGTAAAAAACTATGATGAATTGAAAGAGTCAACACTAAACCATACTGCTTTCATAATCACAGAAAATGAAATAAAAATAACAAATCTTCGAAATAAAATAGAAAAATTAAGCACAAAACTGGACGAGGCTAACGAAATTATTGAGAAAAGAAATAATGAACTAAAAAGTTTACGTGAAGAATTTCAAAATTGTACAGAAGAAAAAGATTCAAAAATCAGAACATTAGAACAAAAATTAAGAGAACAAGCCGCATTATTTCGCGATGTTATGTCACAAGCATTCGATCGACTGACTGAAAAACTCAATAACGACTACGAAAGTATTCATAAAAACTTCAAGATATTTTCTCAGCCTACCAGTGATTTAATAGAGTTGGAATTTTTAAATCCGCCATTTTTAGATGAGGAATCTGTTGAATATGTATAAGTTTCTATGAAAGTATCTTGATATAAACAACAATTTAGGGACCTATCTTCTTCAAATACTGACAAGAATAACTTCCACTTGGCATTTGCAAATAATTTGTATGAAACATTTCAGCATAAAAAAGTAGTTTCAATCCTTCTAAGACTTGTTTTTTCTTTAATTAGGAGAGATAAATATAAAGTGTGTTGGTTGCTATCAAGCTATTTTCGATAATAAAATATCTCTGCTTGCAAAGTTTTGAAATCGGATCTTTCGTTAATCAATGTAAGAGGCGGTGGTACTTACATGGCTCATTAGTCTGCGAGGTTATTATTGAAAAAGATGTCCTCATTCACAAATTACAGACTATGTATCCAGTTAAGAACAGTACTCGTTAGTTACGTAAATTCATATTTCATTAGAAAAATACTGAGAAAAAATCGATATTTCTGCTGTTTAGAAAGATAACCAGCTGGAATCATGATTATTAGATTTATTTCGAGAACTGGATGCATTTCTGGCTTTGTCAGACATAGGTGGAAACCCAAGAGTACGTCAAGCATCGCGAAAAATCAGGGTAATGTTTCATCCAGCAACATACTGAAGTTCTACCAGTATTCTGTTTACCAAGATCTAAGTATATTTTCGTTTACCAGATAAACATTTTGGACATCAAAAACTGTGAACGTTTGTACTTGGAACTGATTTGAATCTTTTTATACTGGGACGTAACGCAACATGACTCTGACGAAACCTCTCTTCGTGATCGATTCTCTGGAAGTTGTTGCATTCATTAGTTTTATATGGAAAACTACCATAATGCCCACCATAAACCAGGAAGCTACTTTAGGCCTTTGCAACTGACTAACCACACAGTGAAACTCCTACTGGTGTTTTGATTTCGTGGTAAATATATTCGCTGCGTGCGCGTATCCTCTATATTCAATAAGTTCCGTGATGTTCTAAATTAAGAATGTGTAAGCACTTCGTTAAAACTTGAGCGTTACAGATGCATCCGTTCCAATCAAGCTAAAATACGACTACATATTTCAGAAGCAGATAGAGATTGTAGACCACAAGCAGAAATCAAATAGTTAAATTGGTCTTTGGTTACCGAACGTAGATTAAAACTTTCGCAAGCCCAATTGTCCTTACTGCCATAAGTTAGAGAATCATCAGCGGAATTTCTGGATACTTTAAGGCTACTGTAACGTATGCTGAATAAGTATGATTGTTCACTGAAAATCTCCTAATGGATACTAAACCTTTCGTCAAAATTGATGTCTCTGGGCAGTTCAGAAGAAAGAAATTCGTATATCTAACACTCACTTGTTCCCAACTTCCAGAGTAGAGCACGCACTCTCGTACCATTGTCTCGATCAGCCGAATCACTTTGAAATAAATCTTCATGTATGTTGTACCAGGAGGAATCGAATGAAATTCCGTTCACTGGATCAAAAGTTAATCCAGTAACTGGTTTCAACGCCGTATCAACTTTATTAAAAGAACCACATACACAAGACTGAGCAAACTTTCGAGTTAATTTATCTATTAGCCGATATGTCTTCAAACAGTTTGTGTTGTGCGAAAAATTCCTTCATTTCATCAACTGATAGGAACAATTTTTTATGAATTACTTCTCCTTAACCGTTGATCAATATTACATGACAAATACAAAACACCAATCAGATTTACGTCCTATGACCGGAAGCCATGAGTCAGCCTTGGGACCTTATCGGTCAATAACTTAATGGCCGACTTCTGCCTTTGTCCAGAAGCTCGTAGCCAGCCTCCACAAAATTTCAAAGAGATAGGGAGAAGCCATATGCTGCGGAGTAGACTCGTCTTTCGGTTAACAGACGGACATCTCGTCTACTCAAAAAAAAAATGCAAGTTAGCAAAGGCTAGTCAAGACTTCTGAATCAGTGCCGAGATTTCGTCACACACCAGGCCGTTACCACTGATGAGAGTCCCAGGATAGGTGAAGCGATCAAGACGTTTGACAACTTCACTTCCTATCAATAAACCGACGCAAGCCAATCCTGAAGAAGAGAAGGGCATCCCGAACCTCTTTAAGATCAATGTACTCCTCATAATGACAGACGCTGCTACAGAACCTCAAAATCAGATTCAAAAGTCGCTTTAAGATCAAGGGATAACTATTGTAGAAGTCTAAATGGGTATAAATTTTCTGTCTATACATCTATGTCCGTGTCTGAACTTAGCCTCGTTTTCTAGAGTCCACTCTTCATGAGCTCTAGATCCAAGCATCTATTAGTTCAGTAGATGCTACTGAAATCCAGTGCTTCTCCTTAACTTTTTGTTTATCTTGAAGGTAGATATCACTGCTGTTCCATAGCTTTTTGGATATTACAAGCTGCCTCGTGTACAGCAGTGAATCAATTTTAGAGATGTCTATCCTCGTTGTTATTTTCACAAACAGGCAGTTATCTAAACTTAACTGCGTTAGACAATCACCATTATCTGTTCGCAGGCCAAGCACAGCAAAAGACCCACCCAGGAGTCCTTCGGTTTCGTTTAATCTAACTGATTGGGCATGGAAAGAACCATTCTCTATTCTTGCACCAGAGCATAAAGCTTACTGTAAAACCTATCTTGCACTTCGTACGAGCTGCCGTCAGTGGAAGCGGTTTACAGCCGGGTTCCAGGAGACCAGGAATTAGGTTTCGTGTACTCGAAACGTTTGCATCAGCAGTCAGATGCAACGTAGAACTTCGTACGTAAGTACGTCAGTTCATGTCGCCATACCACATCAGCACAGAGATGTAATTGTCAATTCAAATCCAATAGTAGAAGAGGTAGTTAAGGTATTAGAAGTAATCGAAGAGGTTAGGATTAGATATTATTCAAGAAGTATGATTCAGTGAGAAAAGTTTAGAAAGTCAAAACTAGAGGTGTTGAAGAATGCAGAAGATTAGGATTTGAGAGAACACAAAGAATAAATGCACCGGCGCCATTGAGAACGATTTTGAGCCATGTCATTCAAGGTCTCTAGCCATCGATTATTATCATCTCGCGGACCCCAACCAGGTAGTCGACAATTACCGACATGGCTAAGTCCACTCGTCAATGACCTCATGGATTTCTGCCACGTTTTGGTCTGGCCGCACCTAGCTTTCTTCCAACCTACTCCTACACCACAAAACAAAGCTCTTTGAGGCAGTCGGTGGTTGGGCATACGCAAGACATGTCCCAACCACCTCAACTGATGAAGTTTCACCACTTCACCGATTGATCTGCCATTCTTACCTAGTACTCGTTTCCTAACGACAGCATTGCTTACTCGACTGTCCCACGGTATACGAGCAATGCTTGGAAGACACCTATGATCGAAAACCAATAACCGACGAGTATCTTCTACTCTCACCAACCATGTTTTGCATCCTTATAGTAGGACGGAGAGAACTGCTGCTTAGTACACTCGTCCTTTGGTTAGCAAGCGGATATCTCGCCTGCGCCATAGGTGACGCAGGTTGATAAAAGCCATTCGAGTCGTCTGTATCCGTGCTCAGATTTCGTCAGTCACCAGCACTGATGAGACTCCCCAGATACGTGAAGCGGTCTACACGCTCGACTACTTTACTCCCTATCACTAGTTCAGGTGCCGATGCAACCCAGTCTTGAAGCAACATTTTACATTTCGAGGGGGAAAACCGCATCCCGAACATGATCTCATTGTTGCTTACGGTGGTCAGAAGACTCTGCATTTTGTCAGCGTCTTCACCAAATAAAACTAAGTCATCGGCATATTCTAAGTCAATGAGCAAGCCACCTGGTAAAAGGTCTACTCCTGAAAATTCAGACGAGCATAAGATTATTTCTAGGAGCATGTGTATGATAAAATTAAACAAGAATGGAGAAAGTGGACATCCCTGACGGACACCATTTGAAGTAAAGAATTCCGTTGACAGTTCGCCATAAGCTCTCACTCGACCAGTGGTGTTCGAGTAGAGAGCTTGTATAAGGTTAATGTACTTCTTTGGTACACCTTTTAATGACAGGCACTGCCACAGAACCTCACGATCAACAGAGTCAAATGCCGCTTTTAGGTACAGGAAAGCAACTATTGTAGGACGCCTAAATGTGTGTCTGTGTTCCAGGACCTGTCGTAGTGTGAAGATGTGGTCTATACAACCACGTCTAGGTCGAAAACCAGCCTGGTTTTCTTGAGTCTGCTCTTTACGAGCTTTCGTTAAGCTTCGAAGTATTATTAAGGCCAATATTTTACAAACTATATTAGTTAGACTTATTCCCCTGTGACTGTCACAAGAAGACTTTTGTCCTTTCTTATAAATTGGGACAATCAGTGATTGAGACCAGTCGGATGGGATTACGTCCAGTTCCCAGATTCTACCTAAGATCTCAGTTTGCATCAGCAGCGCGTGGTGATAAGGGCATACACGGGGTCTTTGTCGTGAAGATAAAGGAATGCTTAAGAGGTAGAGGAAGGATATAACTGTGACCAATCTGGTCTCAAATGCTTGGTACGAGAGCGGATGTCACTTTTCGCCTGCCCATACTGTGGAAGGTTAATTCTTGAGGAACCTGAGAAGGGAATCGGATTATTGTTGGTCTTATCGACCTGAGAGCGTGATCGCAGAGATCGATGGAAAACTGCTTGAGGCTAGTCACGCACGACATTTTTATGGGATGATTCGGAAGTGTTAGCTCCACTCTCCAAAAAGCCTTACCGCCGGAGACGGAAATCCTTGAGGTGCGAAATTTGTAGGATCGTCCTTTTCTAACTCCTTCCTTCCTCGTGAGGTAACATCGCTGCAGATGCTGGTCGTCCGAGGGAAACACCTTATTGCTGTCAGACACCTCTACAGTTAGCAGTGCGACTTCGTCCTCAGACCCTGAGTAGCTGCTTTTAGTTTCATCGTTCTCCAATCGACCTGCATAACATGGTAGAACCCATGGAAATATGTGTTCCAACCAACAGACCTCGGTTGGGTCATTACGATAGGTAAGTCAGACCACCATATCAAGTTAGCAGCTACGGTTATATAACATACTGTAAAAAGATTGTTTTCAATAAATAAATGGAAAGATAACGCATGTTAAAGAAACTGATAATTTTTTTAGAATACATAAATAAACATTCGTTGACAGATAAGTATGTGCGTGCATGCATAACATAACAGTAACTGTACAGATAATAATTAATTGTATCATTATGATCAGTGAATTAAATCATCGCATATTTGCACACAGATCCTCCTCGCTATATTGATTGTATTGATTACGAATCTACATTTAACAAGGTAATTAAATAAACACTTTAACAAATTACTAGTAAAAGCAAATGTTACGTTACCATAATAGGGAATTTTTATGGTAGTGCTGAAATAAAGTCAAATACAAACATTTAGTACTCTAAATTAGGCACTACATTTATAAGAATGCAAATACGTTGATTCCATGTGGTCTTCAATAAAGTTGAGATAAAGCAATCAACTAAAATATATAATAGGATATTTTAAAGTCTTTTATAGCTAGCAGTTATGTAGTATAGAAACAATAAATAACCGATATTTCATGAACTTCAACACAGATGAGTAGATAACTTTGTTAATAGTAACTGAAACGATGTCTAACACAAAAATCAAGACATTCAACGAAATTATCAAAGGAAGCACTAATATTGAAGAACAGCGAAACAAGTAGGCAGAGCACTTTGCAGAACTCTTGAATAAACCAGTCCCATTGAACTCACCTAACATCGGAACAGTACACAAGGATCTCTCAATTAATGTACACCAACCAAAACTTAAATAGATCAACATGGTAATGACACAAATCAAAAACTGCAATGAAAAAAGACCAAACAACCTTCCAGCCGAGGCAATGAAAGCAGACATAGCAGAAACTGAGGTGTTTCACGGTCTCTGCAGGACTATTTTGCATGGACAACAAATACCAACTGACTAGAAATGACACCTTACCAAGGTACCATAGAAAATGTGAGAAGTACAGAGGCATCCCCTCCACTCTCTAAACCAGGAAAAGTAATTAACATAGTGTTGTTGAACAGAATGAAGAATTCAGAAGGCTCTGAGCCTCGAGATCAGCATACTGTACTTCCTAAAGATCGATCATGACACAATAAAACAGCGACAGTACAGATCATTTTGGAACAGTCAATTTAATGGATTTCACCACTATATCAAACTTCTTGACTACAAGAAAGAATTCGAGAGTGCAGGACAGGATAACATTAGGGAGGTTTCTTGGACACTGACGCGTATCTGAGAAGACTATCAACAATATAGGGAACTATTTACAATGGTTTGAACTACAAAACCATTGATTGAGGGAAACTCCCAGGCTATTTCTAAGCGAAGACCGGTGTCAGACAAGGTTACTTCAACAAAGACATTCATTTTATCATGGTGATTGACTGGATTACGAAGACGTCAACATTTCAGTGACAGCATGGAATACACTGAACAGCCAGGATGCAACTAGACGATTTGAACTTCTCAGACGACCTAAAGCTTACCTCATATAACGAACAAATGCACGTGACGACGGAGTGTAGCAGCAGCCTCTGAATCAGTAAATCTCAAAGTACGCGAAGAAAGAGGTAATATCCTCAGATAAAACACAAGCACCGGTCAGATCATATTTCACAAACAAGCTTAGGTCTATTGAATAAGTCAGTTACAAAGTAGAACTTCATACGTACGCAAATTAGTTCAAGTTACCGTACCACATTAGCACAGAGACGGAAATGTCAGTTCAGCTCTCGTAGTGATAGAGATAGTAGAAACACTAGTGGTAATGAACAAGATAACGATTACAAGATATTATTCAAGAAGTATGATTCAGTGAGATAAATTTCGAAAGAGAAAGACAGAGGTGATGAGGAATTCAGAAGGTTAGGATTTGAGTGAATGCACCTGCGTCATTACAAACGATTTCTAGACATATCGTTCAAAGTCTCTAACCCTCGGTAACCATCGATTCGCGGACCCCAACCAGGTAGTCAACACCTACCGACATGAACCAGCCCACTTGTTAGTGACTTCATGAATTTGTGCCATGTTTGGTTTGGCCATTGCACTTTCTTGCTCAGGAAATATAACACAGATTTAAATGCTAAACTGTGCAGTTACAAAGATAATTCAGTTAAAAGTTACTCACAATAAGAAATTAAGAGTAGTGAGTTGACTTACATCAAAATAAAATGTATCCGTTGAATTATCAGGTTGAGGAATGAAAGGCATTTCTAAATCATGTAAATTATTCCAATCACCAACCGGTATTATTAAATCATTTGATTTTATTTCATTTGCAACTTTGAGTCTGTCTGCTTGATTGTAAGATAAGAGGCCGCTAATTAGGTTTACAGCAGGTTGCGAAAGTGTACAGTTCTTCTGTGGTGACTCGCCTCTATTAGATGATTCGAAGGTAGTAACAGGCCATTGTATGTCTGTGAACAAACCATTGAACATACATTCATGGAAATATTAGAAAGCCTTAGAAATATTAGCACACGGATATGAGGAACATGTGAGTAATCATTTCTTTTTAAAGTAGACCAAAACACTTAATATTTCAAAGGGCACTCAGTAATCTGGTACAGGTTTATAAATTAAGTGATCAGTAACACGTTTGATGTGAGAACAAGTGATACTCCCCAGCTAACAAAACGAAGATGCAAAGTAGAGTTCAAGCAAATAGCTTAATGACAGAAAATTAAACTTTGATAGAAGAGTGAGAAGACGTAATTGATCTGGAAAATGTAATGTATTTGAGCTATACATTTCGAACAATCTGGTCACACATATACTTGTCAAGGCATTTTATATGAAGATTAGTCAAAGGTCAATTAAATAAAAGTTCGAATAGACAAGGTGATAATTGTAAATAAACGAGAGAGAAAATTAACGTAATATGAAAAGAATAAGAAAGGATAGGGAAATTGTCACATTACCCTAGGCTTAAAGATTACCAGGGTAAATTCAAGGTTATGATGAATTGTTTCTGCACACATAAGGAAGGTTTTAATTTTTGAAATAGCCAAAGCCTCCATAAACCTCAAAATTCGTCCATCAAAATTTCTATACAAATATGTGTGACCAGAATGTTCGAAATGTATAGCGCAAATACATTACGTTTTTCAGATCAATTACGTCTTCTCACCATCCCATCAAAATTTATAAGAGGGACTAATTATTTTAGACAGTTGAACGATTAGATTATCAAACGATACTTGTAGACAGTCTACTAATTAATACATATGCAGTAAAAACCATTCCATTTTGTTTTCAATGATAATAAAAAACGACCACTTGGAAGAAGATGTGAAACTTCCCAATCCTGACAAAAATCTTTAAGTCGGTCAGTGACAACGTAGAACTTCGAAAATGACAGCATAAGTTCAGGTTGCCATACAGCATCAGCACAGATACGCTACTGTCAGTTCACACTCAACAGTGGTAGAGATAGTAGAAGTAATAGCAGTAATGGAGAAGATTAGGGTTCGAAGATAAAATTCGAGAAGTATAATTCAGTGAGATAAATTTAGAAAGAAGAAGATAGAGGTGATGAGGAATTCAGAAGGTTAGGGTTTGAGAGAATACAAAGAATGAAAGCACCTGCGTTATTGCAAATGATTTTGAGCCACGTCGTTCATGATCTCTAACCATCCGTGACTTTCATCTCGCGGACCCCAACCAGGTAGTCTACATTTACCAACACTACTCAGTCCACTTGTCAGAGACTTCATGAATTTGTGCCATGTTTGGTTTGGCTATATTTCGATTTATTCCAACATAATCCTACACGGCAATACATAGCACGATGAGGCAGTAGGCTGTAAGAAAGAATTACACAAGTCCCAACCACCTCAACTGATGAAGACTCAATGCGTGAGGTAAAGTGGAGAGTGACGTTTTTAGGGTCGACCCCTTCCTTCATTGTGACAAGGCAGCATCGCTGCAGATGCTGGTCGTCCGAGGTTAACATCCTACTGCCATCACACTCCTATACATTCAACAGTACGACTTCACCCTCATAACTTGAGTAGCCGCTTTTAGTCTCATCGTTCTCCAGTCGACCTGCCTGGCATGATAGGACCTACAGGAACACATGTTCAAGCCAACAGAACTCGGTTGGGTCATCACGATAGGCAAGCCCGACCACCACGTCAGGGTAGCAGCTACGGTCTAATAAATGAAATAATTAGACCGTTTATCAATTTTAAAAAGATTGTTAAATATAGCTCTGTTATATATGATAACATCGACCCTATATATTTTATGGGAGTTCATCTTAGCTGATATCGACCAATAATGGTACTATATACTACGGTATACAGTCCGTAGCGAAATTCTAACTATTTCTTCTGTTAGTCTTTGTTCTTTTAATTCATTAGTTTTGATAGTAGTGGAATCTTACGTAAATCACTAATGCAGTATAAGGCAATCCAATAAGTATTACAAAGTGACTATCTGGTCATTTGTACAAAATTAGGTATTCAATTTAAAATATAAAAATAGATGCACTAAAATGAGCAGAATGAGAACAATATCGTATTAACAGTAATTAATCATATATATATATATATATATATATATATATATATATATATATGTTCAACATCGATTCTATCCCCTTCAGCCTAATCTCGTTCGGACAGTCCGATAGTATCACTATAATGTTCTGAAGTCTACCATATAAATTAATACTTCATAGACGAATTGCTTTACTCATCATCATACAAATTACTAAGGTTTTCGGCATAAATATAGGGAAGGAAAAACAAGAAAATATCTATTAGTCAAGCTTACTGCTGAAACATACCTAAACTGAGAATATTGTGAAATATACCCTCTACAGTTTCATCAGCAAATGGAGTAACACCAACTAACATTTCAAATAATATAACACCCAAAGCCCACCAATCGACAGCTGGACTATCACAGGCACTTTTAGAATTAGGATGAAGTAATAATTCTGGTGCCAAATATTCTGGAGTACCTAACAAAGGACTCGATGAACACTTTGAATATGATAGATTTTCAATCGATTCTGTAGTAACTTGAAGTGGATCAACCGTTGGTGAAGTAGCCAATGAAGTAGTTAATTTGTCAGCAAACCGCTGATGTTTACCAGTTGAACACAGAGGACTAGAAGGAAGCAATGTTTGAGCAAGAATATTACTTTCTAATTCAACTGACTGGAAATCTCGAGTAAAATGTTTGCTGTTTTTCTGAAACGAAATTTTAATTTTCATTAGATCAGATAACAGAAATAATTTCAAAATAACTAATAAACTTACCGATCAGAAAACTAACGTTGGAATATCTTTCCAGTAAGTGATAGAGATTAAACACATAAGAGTCGAAATACTCCGCGCACAAAATTAGTTAAACCACAGTATAATAAAAAGGGATTAAAATAATCTGTAATAATAACTGAAGAAGGTAATATGCCCTCTCTCAAAACGTTATTGTTTGATTTATACTAAGCTTAAAAGCTAAGTCAAACCTATTTCAATTTAACCAACAAAGAAAACGTTCATTGTTTGAACACGTTAGGGTTTTAAGCGTCTTCTGTACTTCTCCGACCTTTATCTGATCAGCCTGAAACAATGAGCTAACTAGACACCAGTCAAATAATAAGAGCACGCTTTTAGCTAATATATGATTTATTTTTCTAGGGAACGAAACAAACGAGATTGGTTGAACATATAATTTAAATTTCGAAGAAAAATATGATAATGTTAACGGTTTATACAATACTTTATGTTCAGGACAATATGAAATTCTCAACACGGAATATTTCAACAAGTTTCATCTAAAAACATTCAGTGATTGCCAGTTGGAAGTAAACAGTTCAGGAATCGATACCTTAGTAACGTCTATTCTTTTCTAATTAGATTATCACCGTGATGTCTCGGTGAGGCGATGGCTCTTAAACTTTTTATATACGCGCCTGAATATAATGTGTAATTAATAGACATGACTGATGTGTTAAAACAGATGGGAAGAGGCAACCTATTAGTGTATGAATAACACGAAAAAAGTTAATTCTGAAAGTGATTAGTGAAAAAAGCAATTTAAGCAAACTCAAAATATTCTTTATGCAGTTGACAAACCTCCTCCCCACAAATCCAGACAAAGCAATCTTCACAGTTAAACACAACAAAAAGTGGATACAATCCGCAGTATAACTCTATTTTACTGAAATATCCCGAGGTCACGACAATCAGGAGGCTATAAACTGATCATCAAAAAAAGAGTATATGACTAACTTCTGACTGCCTTGATAATATCAATAAATCAATTTCCGTTCCCCAGAAATTTATAAGAAATATTCAATGATTTCATATGCACTTCTCGCCTTCGTATTCTCATTAAATTTTTCGATACATTACGCAGCAATGTTTTAATACTAACATGATGATTAGAAAAAGAATAATTCTTTGAAAACTTTCTTTGAAATTTTTGTTGGAATTTTAACAACTTCTGGGGTACAGTTACATCCTTAGAAATTTCATGCTAATATTTTGAATGGACTAAATTTATTATTAACTGCAAAGAAAGCTGAAACTACAACAAGATCATTAAAATTTGCAAACATTGTCATTATTGATTCGCTTAAAATTCACTTAATATGTTCGAAATGCAAAAAGAAGACATTTTTAAGTGAAACTTTGATAGTACAAATAGAAATTCCAGTAAAAGAATAGAAGTAAACGAAAAATACTCACTTTAACTACGAAAGAAGAAGAATCATGGAGAAATTTTAAAGGTGTTTTAGGTAACACTGGCGAAGTTATACAGTCATCCGTAGGTGGATTTGAGGGATTTATATCATCTATGAAATAATCACCTAAATAAAATCAAATAAAAGATATTAATAATAAGGGGAATCAAATAACCTTTGGGAGTAAATACTCATCAAGATTCGTAGGTCCAAGTATGAAAGCAGAAACAAACAAATATATTGATAAACTTTGAATTCATCATCGTGAATATTCCCCGTAAAAATAGTATTTTACACCTTAAAACATCTAATTATGTCCACTTGTCAGTAATTCAGTCATCAATAATACGTTTAAGACAAGCTGATATACTAGGTCATAAGTGGATGTTACGAAAGAAATGATTCACTAATGGTATTAGAAGGCTCAAAACAGAATGATATACTCAGAAGCAACGTCTACATACCTAAACACAGTTGCGTAAAATAGTTTTAGTCATTAAATATGATGCGAAAATTAAGGAAATAATTTCCTCATATAGAGAGAAGAAGAAGACGACTAATCCCCAATACTTCAAGGATGATGGAAAAGTTGTCGTCTGGGGACCGATTAAGTTGTTTGATGAACAGGAATATGAAGCAGTGTTCAATAATCTTGGAATGAAGTGATTAATGTTCCCATCTTTTACACGGCATCAATCTGCTTTCCATTAATTCTAAACTATCAGATTTCTTGATGTTTTGTAAATTGTTCACAACCTGTGAAAGCCTGACTAGCGAGAGACAGGATGGTTTTCAATTAGGTTGTAGATGTATTATTTACGTCTTCAATTTCTGTTGAATTTTGGGATACCTCCAAACTTGCTACAGGGTAATAACTGGCACGATTCTCAATATCAGGGATGCCCTAGATTTGTCAAACAGGATTTTGCTCCAGAATTGTCTGTTGAAGAGCATACTTGAGAAGTTTATTATCACTTTTAGGACTCTGTATGTACACAAATAAATCAGGTGAAGTGAAAGTTTAAAACCAACTCCTCCTATTGTTCTAATCTCAAATTGGGCTACCCACAGTGACTATTTTTTCCCTAACTTTACTATCAATGATACTGACTGACTGACTGACTGACTGACTATCAATGATACGCTCGAAACAGCTACAAAGAGAGTAAGGGGTAGTAGTAAGCATCTATCACATAGAGAGAGACTTTAAGATCTTCAGTTTCCGGATGATGCAGTCTTCTGGTGCGATGATACGTAAGTAACTTAAACTGTCCCTATAGCTTTTGCACTTTCGAAATGTAAAATACTTATCTAAGTCTGAAAAATCTGTTTCTACAATCAATTACTTGCGATGAACCGTAAAAAGCAGTCAAAAAGTTCGTATAAATCAATAGTTGTCCGGCTATAAAAAGGCCGGTTTATGGTGGATCAGTGAAAAAAGAGATAACACTATATTAGTAATACTAGGGCAAGCACAATGACGACAGTTAAATTGTTACAGTCGTTCGAAAACACTGACTATGGTGGATTGGTCATCGTCTACGGATATCATTCGAGAAATCGCGACATTGAGTGATTGAGTACATCAACCCCAACTTCCTTTTTTCTTTGGATAGTAGTAATTAACAAAGACTAAACACTAAACAGTAAATATTTACACACAACTATTATACGTCATATAGCGATATAATCTAACGATTGCAAAGAATTATCACATCTTTACAAATGTATGCCCACAAACTAAGATAAATCATATTTCCTTGCCACCGACAACTATTAATGGTATTACATAGAGATAACCGATAGTGAAAAAAAGTAACAGACTGAATGAACGAAAAGTTAAACGTACCACTTATAGCTAAAGAAAAGTGGGATAATGGCGAATGACAGAACAGGTTTAGTCTGGCTTTTTCAACTGGTGACAATAGATTTTCCGCCAAAGTATTTGGTTTAGATGATGGATGAGGGGAAGTAAAATCAGGATGACTTTTGACAGCATCAGGTGAGTTGGTTATTAGCCTAATAAAGTAAAAGTGTTAGATACTGTAAGATGAATCTAAAACATGATTATTCCATAACTTGCTAGAGAAAGTAATGAATGTTTCCACCAAAAGATGTTTCGTTTAATAAATACAGTAAAATAATTATTCGTCAAATAAGTGAATACAAGTAGAGGACCGTAAACATGTTTCAGTACTAACTACGAGTCACAGGGTAGTAGAAAAGAATCATAAGCGAAATGATGATGGTCACTTTATAACAACGACTTCAAAAAGCGTTGCAACATTTCAATCTATCTATTCTGCTTAATTATTTAATTAACACCAATTCTAGGCTGAACGATACAACTGAACATGTGGAACATACCTTAAGTCAGTCAGTTATCAATAATGTAGAGCCTGACAAAGATGTGCACACATTGCAATCACCTCAGTCAATAAAAGTTTACAATAAGTGGCATTAAATTATTTCTTAATATTTAAACATATAAGAACGTGACGCTGCTTTTGATATATTAAATATGTTCTTCGTAGTAGTTGATGGTATTTCATTGCTTTAAACTATTTTTAAATTGTATAGTTTAAAGTTCATCTTGTGACTGCGATAGCCTCATACCAACGAACTGGATCTGTATTGTGATTGAAGTATACGAAAGATTTAAAGTGCTTTTTGTTAATACGTCAGTACAATCGGACAGACAAATAAGGATAAAGAACACATAACCTGACATTTATGTATACCGCTAATACTTCTACTATCTCTACCACTATGGTGTTTGAACTGACAGTTGCGTCTCTGTGCTAATGTGGTATGGCAACCTGAACTGATATACTTACGTACTAAGTTCTACGTTGTAACTGACTGACAAACTGACATTTATGTATATCGGTTTACATATCACGTTAGAACAGTGAGACAAAATTATCAAGGTGATTTATAGAATATTAGAAATGGTAACACTATTGGTAGTAGAAGGGAAAACTAAGTTTAGAGAAAATAGAAAAAAGTGTGAGATTTCGGGATCAAGATTTAAAAGAAGTCAGAGTGGATGCACCTGCGCTATTGTGGACAGTTCTGAGTCATGTTACCTAAAGTCTCTAGCCTCTGGTTAAGATACGGCTCTCAGTCGATGAAGACCTACTATCTCGTCGATGGGTTTTCCATACTTATCTAGTGTTCTACGCATCACCTCAGAATCGCTGACTCGATAGTTCTAAAATACACGAGCAATATTTTAAAGACGAATACTTAATAACTCACTCCTGGTACCCTTCATGGAGCAGAGGCCGTCGACAACGATTCTCCAACAAACTCTGTCTCAGGCTCACCTTTCCAATGCTTACCCAGTGCTATTCATCCTTTTCACGTCTGCCTTCCGTTCCCAAAACAATGTGTGTTTTGGTTTTCCCCTGGCTTTGAGGATTCCAAGTCAAGGTTAGCTTGTGACGTAGACTAGTGGTTTCCTCAAAATGTGTCGCATCTGCCTTCAATGCTTTTTCTTAATTCTGCCCTCCTAGGATTATCAACAGCAGCACCAATAGTGTGTGGTTTACAAAACTAAGCGTGCAGTTACATGTTGAAAACAACCTCAAATTTTTAGAAAGTTTCTTTTATCAACTCGTGTGATATTTACAGCGCAAACGCCAATACTGACAATTTCCAGGTTGGTTGATAGCTTAATGTTCGCGAATATTACTTAATAAGTATTTCTACAGCCTCCTCACTATTCTTTATAAAAAATCATCTGAGATAGTGATTACGCGTTACTTCTTTTGAGTGTTCAAGTGAGCAGATATCGATTAGCGTATTTTTTGGTAAGCGAGAACTGTTTCTTCAGTCACATCGGTCGGTTACCCATCATTGGTTTGCTTGTCACAATCATACTTTATTATCTGAACTCTTTAAATTACACATCCTCCTGTGTGTAATAAATTATGAGTAAATAGTTTACACAAATTGAAAGCAACCCAACTGAACACGTAGAAACAAAACAAGCACTTACTTTAAATTATTTTTATCCGTCAAATTATATGGAGAGGAGTTCAAAACTAAATTCCGCATATCTTTGTTTAAAGAAGAAATTTTCAAACACGAATTTGTATCATTACGAAGCATATTTTCCATATTCTGACACTGCTGTCTGCGATCCGATGGCGACAGTTTTGATTTGTCGATTGCTAAACTATGAATAGCATTTAGGTCAGAAGTTGGTTCTTTTTGTTGAAGTGGATGGTCGCTGTAATGTTGACAGTGACAAAATTTACATCCAGGTTTGAGTGACAAAGCCAGATTGGAGTATGATGTCTATTACAATTGAATATTAAGTCGGAATATGTTAAATAATGAGCAATATAGAAGTATATAAAAATACGATACGTTACACTTAAAAACCTAACCGATATGCTCGGGTTTTAATGACAAAGAATGAGATGAAATTTCTACATGGTAAAATTGTTGTACATGCATGCCATATAAACATCGATATAATCCTACTGATTAGTTATGTAAAAAAGCTTGGCTACAAAGTGAATATACTAAAAGGGGTAGTTGTGTTGAAGCAGCATCGGTTGGTTCGTCACGATTTCTAGAACAGAGTATTAGATATCAAGAATTATAGCTGTTGGGAATATTATCTAGTATGAATAGGATTGTGATGATCGAGTTGAGTTTTGTGTTATACATTTCATGCTTAGTAAGATAGATCTGCCGACTAAATAAAATAAGTCTTAGTTGTGTCAGTCGGACGTAGATTAGATTAAAGCATACTTCATGCAAGACTGTGACAGAGCACGCTGATTAGCCCGTTCTCAGATAATCGGCACTAGCAAATGGATGGAGAATATTCAAGAATTAACTTGTGTAAAATTATGAAGATAACATTCTTCTTACTATGATTCACTCCGACTGAACTTGGTTTATTTGGAATATAATTATTTTGAGGACTAAGAATATCCGAACACTACATCGAAGAAACCTACGGTCAAACACTCACCACCTACATGGGCTTTGTAATTTGACAAACAGACAAAAATCGTACTTGAGCTACGAATTCAAAAAGTGGATAATTTTATACATGCCCCTAGAATTTATTATTCAAGAATATCTCAAGATTGGTGATATCACAAAGATGAATGATGATAAAGATTATTATTCTTTTTCCGAGTTTGAATGAAAATACTTTAATCGACGACATGTATAAGAAATGTAGAGAAACAAATGCTAGTAACAATTCACCTGTAGCTTATCTAAATGATTATTCAATGTTTCATAATTCTGAGGACCCTTTATGTGCGATTTATCGGATTTCGGTGACCAGTGGAGCGAATTGCGACGAAGACAAGGTTTCCAAGCTTTAGAACTACAATCGTTAGAACTCTTGGATCGTCGTGAAGCCCAGGCATGCTGTTCATTGGAAATTACTAAGGATTGAGAAGGTTCTGAAGAGGTTCCGTGAAATGAATTTGAAATATTGCAATTAGTACAGTGATGCTAAAAGGGTAAAACAATTATGTACATTAATCAATTATGATATCCTTATTAACTTGCAGCCAAGAGCAAAACTTAGGATTACATTACATCGGTACATTTAAAAATTATTTTGGACTTACTACCAATCGGCAAAGAGCAATATAATACCGTCGAATGAATTAAATAATTTATATGCTTGATTTGTTCAATAGTTGAAGTATTGAAACTCAATCAGTTGAAGTGGTTGGGACTTATGTTACGAATGCTTGACCAGCGACTGCCTAGACAAGCGAATTTTTGGTGTAAGAGTAGACTGGAAGAATGCTAGAGGGCGGCCAGAAGAAAAACATGGCACAAATCCATGAAATCACTAACAAGTGGACTGAGTCATGTTGGTAGATGTAGGCTACCTGGTTGGGGTCTGCGAGACGAAAGTCACCGATGGTTAGGGACCATGAACGACATGGCTCAAAATCGTTTGCAATGGCACAGGTGCATCCACTCATTGTGTTCTATAAAATTCTAATCTCCTGAAATTATCACCTTTATCTTTATAAGTTTATTTCACTAGATTATACTAGATTATACTTCGTGAACAATATATCCTAATCCTAATCTCTTCGATCACTGCTCATACTTCTACTACATCTAATACTATGGGATTATAATTGACGATTGCGTCTCTATGCTAATGTGGTATGGCAACTTGAACTGATATAAGTACATATGACGTCCTACGTTGTAACTAACTGACTGAACCATCTCAACCGTTAAAGATTCGCTACTTTATCAATTAGTTTTCCATCCTTACCTAGAATTCTTTTCCTAACAAGAGCACCGCTTACTGGATTATCCCATGATATACGAACAATGCTTCGAAGACACCTATAATCGAATACCAATAATTGTGTGGTCATATGAAAGGAAAGGAAACTGTTCCCACTCTTGGTCGCACCACAGGGCTGGGAGTGACAAATTATGGCTTCGAAAATATACGAAACTACAATAATAATCAACGGAACAAGAGAAGTAGATGAAAGTTAGACAATGCAGGTAAAATTAAAAAACATCATTACTTTTTTTGAAGACAAGCAGTCTGGAGAAGAGTAAGTTTTGATAGTATTATCCTGTGAAGTTGACAAGTGCTTCTCCAGAGGTCCATCAGTTTCATGAATGATAGGTGTATCCGTCTAAAAAGCACACGACAAATAAATTAGTAGTCATTTTATGAAGACAACTAAATTTGAAGTTTATGAAATTCAATAAAACTGAGTGCCTTCAACTACTAATTTTTTGAAAAATGAAATTCTGTTGTTAGACATAAATATAATGTAACACTAATGTTTATATCTGTTTAGATACATAATATGTGTTTTGTTCCTTCTTTTGATGCTTGCTTTAGTTGATATGAACCTTTTTAATTCTCCTTATTAATATACACCTTTATTGACAATAGTTTGAAAGTACCACAAAACTTCTATTCACTTTTAATTCAAACACTTTCAGATTAACATTTTACCATGTTCAGTCCATTAACAGACTAAACAATAGTAACCTCCAAGAGATTTTTACCACATTTCGTATATACTAACAGTACAATGACTAACTACATCTCGAAATTCGCATATAAAGTACAAAATCTAATAATATATGAAGTAGATTATTGGGAATATATAGAATCTTAAAAGCAACAATGATCAATATATTAAGAATTAGATGTCTTTACTTTTCTTCACCTATTTTTAAATCAATTTGAATAAGATGGTATTTGCTTTTAAGATACATTGATTTGAGTGTGGAACTTTTTATTCGCTTCTTAAATGAACAAAACACAGTAACTACCCGAATACTTACGAAAGCCAGTTCAGTTGTGAGGGAAATAAGCTGACCAGGAGTTCGATAGTATTGCACAGGTAATGGAACAACAGATGGTGTATTCAAAACGTCACTCGGCTGTAAAGCTATCAAAAATAAACACCAATCGAAGGATATGAAAATGATGAGGAAGTGAAGCTAATAATAATAAAGAAAACTGATGAAGATTACCATATGTTTATGAATAACTTATGGAAGACTTTTATGGAAGTAGGGTAATACCTCTGGAAAACGATAGTAATTTCCATGAAAAAGTAATCTAAAAAAATTGGAGTTGACAATTGAACCTCACACACCGTTAACCAACAAGGCATTCAGGTTTCACAGAATCCAGGGAAACTAAAGACTGATTTACCACCAAAAAATTTACATGCCATCTCTAACATTGATGAATGTTGTCAATAAACAAGCCTGACAAGTGATGTTCAGAATTTGTGACGTTTTGATGAAGAATTGCAAACTTTACATACTTTGTAGACAGAAACGGATTAACGGGTACCCTTAGCTTGCAATATTATCATGGAAACTCAAACACTACAAATGTAATGTTTCTGGATTTTAAATAACCTCAGTTGATGTTAATCTTGTATTCATAAATTCAATATTTTATTCCGTAATCAAAAACGGGAACCGATACGCCAAAATATGAAATGTATTAGCATGCAAATACTTCATCCCGACCGTAGCTGCTACCTTGACGTGGTGGTCGGGCTTGCCTACCTTCATGACCCAACCGAACTATATTGGCTTGAAGATGTGTTCCTGTAGGTTCTACCATGCCAGGGAGGTCGATTGGAGAACGGTGGGACTAAAACAAGCACTTCAAGATCTGAAAGCGAAATACTGCTGACTGTAGAGGGGTGTGAAAGAAGTTGTGTTTCCCTCGGACAACCAGCATCTGCAGCGATGCTACCTTCTCACAAGGGAGAAAGTAGTTTGAAAATGTCAACCTTAAAAATTTCACAAGTCACGAATTTCCGTCTCCAGTGATAAGGCTATTTAAAGGGCGAAACTAACACTTCCAAATCATCCCTTGAAAAATCCAACTAACTGCATCTCGTACGACATAAAAGATAACACTTACAATCACTGATTGTCCCAGTCTACAAGAAACGACAAAAGTCCTCTTGTGACAATCACAGAGGAATCAGCCTAACTAATATAGTTTTTAAAATATTGGCCTGAATAATATTCCGACGATTGACGAAAGCTCGTGAACAGCATACTAGAGAAAAACAGGCTAGTTTTCCAACTGAACGTGGATGTATAGACCATATATTCACACTTCGTCAGGTCCTAAAACAAAGACACACGTTTATAAGCTTCACAATAGTACCATTTCTAAGAATTACTGCGGCATTCGACTTTGTTGATTGTGAGGTTCTGTGAAAGTCTGTCATTAAAAAGTGTATCAAAGAGGTACATTAACCTTATACAGGCTCTCTACTCGGACACCACTGGTCGAGTTAGAGCTTATGACGAACTGTAATCGGAATACCTTACTTCAAGTGGTGTCCGTCAGGGATGTCCACTCTCTCCATTCTTGTTTAACTTTGTCGTAGATATGCTTATAGAGGTAACATTATCATCGTCTCGTTTTTCAGGAGTAGACCTTTTACCAGGAGGCTCGCTTGTGGACTTAGGATATGCTCGGATACAGAAGGTTTGGTTGGCTTTTACCCACCTGCGTCACTTATGGCGCAGGCGAGATATCCGCTTGCTAACCTGAGGACGAGTGTACTCTGCGGCAGTTCGCTTCGTCCTACTATACGGATGCGAAACACGGCCGTTAAGAGTAGAGGACTTTCGTAAGATACTAGTCTTCGATCATCGATGTCTCTGAAGCATTGCTCGTGTATCCTGGGACAACCGATTAAGCAATGCTGTCGTTAGGAAACGAGTTCTAGGTAGGGATGGCAAATCAATAGATGAAGTAGTGAAACTTCATCACTTGAGGTGGTTGGGAAATGTGTTGCGTATGCCTAGCCACCGACGACATATGTTTTGCAGTGTAGGAGTAGAGTGGAACAAAGCTAGAGGCGGCTAGACCAAAACATGGCACAAATCCATGAAATCACTAACAAGTGGACTGAGTCATGTTGGTAGATGTAGGCTACCTGGTTGGGGTCTGCGAGACAAAAGTCACCGATGGTTAGGGACCATGAACATGGCTCAAAATCGTTTGCAATGGCACAGGTGCATCCACTCATTGTTTCCTCTCAAATTCTAGCCTTCTGAATTCCCGTCATCCCTAGCTTTCGCTTTCTAAATTTATCTCACTGAATCATACTTCTCGAATTTTATCTTCGAACCCTAATCTTCTCCAATAACTGCTAATACTTCTACTATCGCTACTATTATTGGATTTGATTTGAGAATAGCGTCTTTGTGCTAATGTGATATGGCAACCCTAACTGATGTACGTACGTACGAATTTCTATGTTGTAGCTGACTGACTGACTAAGAATATGCCGATAACATAGTCCGATTTGGTGAATACTCTGACAAAATGTTTCTCCTTAGGCTTAAAATTAATATTTGCTAGAAATAGGCGGTTATCTGAGCATAACTTCAAAAACCAGTCGCCATTATACGTTCTGTGAGTGACAACATCATAAGACCTACTCAAGTGTCTTTCATTTTCACATAGTCTGCTTACTTAAACATTGAAATCACCAGCCATTATTACTGTATCCGAACGCCCAACATTTTGGAGAAGGTTAGAGAGCTTTCTGAAAAACTAACCTGGACTGCAGTCAGTGGGAGCGTAGGCAGATACGACGAAGAGGCAACGACAAGTGTCCCTATCTTTCCGAGTCCTTACTGTCCCGTTTAGTCGGACAGCGCAAAAGCGACTACCTACTGGGATCCAGTCTAGGAGCGCTAGTTCTGCCCTACGACTCAATGTTATACCTACACCAGCGAGACCCCGGGAAGCAGCATCAGGGCTACCGGATATACGAAGAGTAAATCGGGATGCTTCTTTGTTTTGACAAGGCGAAATCAAATTAATGTTTTTACTAGGATTCTGTATGCTCGTTTCCGAGACGCAGCATACATCGATTGAGCGAGACTCTAAAATCCTAGCTAAGGAAGCCTGTTGCCCTGTTTGATACAATTTCCGTACATCAAAAGCTCCAACATGTAGTTAAGAACGAGGTTTCAGGATACCAGGAATAACGTTTCTTGAACTTGCATCGTTTGCATTAGCGGCGTGAAGTGATAAACGAATGTGAGAAAAGTTAGTCATGGAGGTAAGAGAGATGTTAGGGTGTGTAGGAAGGATTTGATTGTGAATAATTTGGTCTCGCATTCTCTTAAGGGTGTGACGGTGATTGTCACTTCCCGGCTGCCCATACCGTGGAAAGGTGTTTCTTGAGGAACCTGAAAAGGAAGGTAGATTAGTGTTCGTTTTGACGACCTGAGAGCGTGACAGAAGAGACCAAGGGACAACTGCTTGAGGCCGGTCACGCACGACCTTTATAATTGGAGATAGCTCCGCTCTTTACATAGCTGTATCACTGGAGAAGGAAATCCGTGAGGTGTGAGATTTTTAGGGTTGACCTTTTCAAACTACTTTCTCCCTTATGAGAAGGCAACATTATTGCAGATGCTGGTTATCCGACACCTTACTGGTGTCACACCTCTCTACAGTCAGCTGTATGACTTCGTCCTCAGACCTTGAGTAGCCGCTTTTAGTCTCATCGTTCTCCAATCAACCTGCCTGGCATGGAACACATCTTCAAGCCAATATAGTTCGGTTCGGTCATGAAGGTAGGCAAGCCCGACCACCACGTCAAGGTAGCAGCTACGGTCGGGAAATAACCAGTAAGAGTAGATATTTCTAAATTATGGGTTTTTCATTCATAGGTGCTTTCGAAGCATTGTTCGGATATAGTGGGACAATATCCGTTTTTTGTGTTCTCTAAAGTTCTAATCTCCTGAAATCATCGCCTTTATCTTTATAAGTTTATTTCACTAGAATATACTTCATGAACAATATCTCCTAATCCTAATCTCTTCGATTACTGCTCATACTTCTACTACATCTAATACTATGAGATTATAATTGACGATTGCGTTTCTGTGCTAATGTGGTATGGCAACTTGAACTGATATACGTACAGGCTTAGTTCTATTGTCTAACTGACTGAGTGGTTGCACTTACTTCTATTTAATCATAAGCAGAGAATGCTGCATGAGAAAATAAGGAGATGCAGCATGACGTCAGTAAATTAGTGAGCTCATTCTATTTAAGAGTAACTTAACATAGATAAAAAAAATAGACCACGCATAAAGTATTGGCTAGCAGATAAGCAAGCAATCAGGCCATAGATTAGGAAAGACATACGTAATGGCATCGCAAATCTAGACAAAAACACACACGGATATAATCAAAGTCACTAATAGAAGAGAAACATTCAAAAGTCAGAAAATGACTAACCAGGTTAGAATATTAAGTTTAATTAACAGACATGTTTTAACTGAATGTTAGTGTAACATGAATTGACAAATACTTTTCAGCAGGGTTAAAATCCATTCGCACTTCCCCATGAACTTAACCATAGTTTGAAATATAGATATGTCACTAAACATACCCACACGGATTCAGTCAGTTAGCTATAACGTAGAGCTTAGGTTTCTGTTCAGGGAAGCTTTTATTGGCATGATGTGCCACGTGTAACCAATAATATACGTTTCGATGTATGCCTTTTAACATAAACAACACTGTACATAACGAGCAGTGGCATTTCTTTAAAAGAAGTGGAAACAAAGAAACGACCGTGAATCCTCTCATGATGTCATCATTCAGTGCATGTCCTTGAGTGCTCAGGAGTGTGGAGAGTTCACTCCTCCTGTTGAGATGCTTTTATATGATCACGAGTTTTTAGCTACTGCCGGCGAAGTTATACTAACTGCCTTCTAGTGGTGGGGCAGTTGTTTACGTAATTGAGCGGACGAATATCCTGAGTAAACTAGGTTATTAAGTACGAAAGACCCTGATTCCAAACCAGCGGTGCACATGCGCTCCAAGTGTAAGCCTATTGTTCGTCATTGACGACTAAAGAACTGTATCTAACGTTGCTCCAAAGCCTTGTAGATTAGACCTGTAGGTCAAAAGCTGGAGGAGTGACTCCTCAAGAAAACCGCCTTCTGTTTGGGCACGAAGGCAATATCTTGGAACACACAAAAATCCAAAATTCAGTGTGGCGCACAGATATCTGGGTGCACATTTGTACCTCCAACTTCGACTACATCAATTTGAAAACTAAGTTCCGAAATGCGGATAATTATATATGTATCTGGTTGGCAATATTGATGTTTTTGATTAAGTATATTTGAAAGCACAAAAAACTTATGCGAGGCTAGGTACGTGAACTTACGACGCTTCCATGTTATCGTAGACAACCCAAAGTCTGTTAGCTTTAAGTGTCCTTTAGAGTCAATAAGAATATTATCTGGCTTAAGATCACGGTGAATTATTCCATGTTTATGAAGATATTTCAAAGCTATTGCAATTTCAACAGTATAGATAGCAGCATGAGATTCCTGAAGACAGCCCATAACCAGTAAGAGTGATTTGAGGTCACCGCCGACGAGGTATTCCATAACCTAAAATCAGACTATGATAATAGTGATGGTTACCAAGTATATATGACTGATGGTTTGCAAACAGTAGTACAAATGGACAATGTATGGACACTTACTAACAGCAAGAGCATTTCGCTCGCAAGTGACTATGAACTAGTTTTGATTAACTATTACTTACCTTTCTCCACAAGATTCTTTTTTCTCATTTCTTCTTTAGACATAACTTTTATTGCGTATATGATGTCAATGTTGTTTGCCTTAGCACCTAAAAACACTTTCCTACCAATATTAAACATATAAAATAATAAAGTACCCAAAAGCTCCTTTGCTTATAGGTTTCAATATAACGAAATCACTTATAGAAGGAGCTACGTTGTTTTCGGACATTGCTCGAAAAGCCGCGCGACCTTTTGATTGTAGTTTCTGAATATTACGAACAACAGTGTACAACGTCCAATATCCAATATCCCATATTTTTTCACGAGCTAGCGTAAACCAATTGATTTCTTTGCGCTCGACTCTCCTTCTTTCTGTACGATTCCAGGTGTTCGGTAGTGTCCATCGGATGTGGGTCAAGGGTTTCTGGATAGCAGCAGCCATCACATTACCCGACCGGAGATCAATGTGGAGAGTAATAAGGATAATAAGGATAAAATTCTAATGCTAATGTGAATAAAGTTTCAGAACTAAGTAATAGATGAATTTAGTTTGTTGATTAGTAGTGAAGATTGTGAGAGAGGACCGTAGTGTAAGCAAGGGGGAGGGAACAGAGATAATAGGCTAGATAGATTAAGTAAGTGATCTGAGGAGATGGCGATGATAACAACTAACAGGTCTCAAGATATGCATCATGAACAGATTGTCCAAGAGGGAGATGATAATCCGTATGTGAGTATGTGGTTATCAAGTTTCTTCTTAATCACGTACTCACATACGGATTATCGTCTCCAATAGAAACAATGGATTCTCATCGAATTTACTAGTCTTGTGACAATTGTTCACGTATATCTTATGTAGAATTTATCTTACAGACGGCCTTCGGAAGCCACATTCAACCTAAAGTCAAGTTATACTAATAATATTTAATCTCAAATAACAATGTGTTACGTGAGGCATGCCTGTTTAAAGGCAACATCGAATTACTACAAATGCTACCACACTTACTGCCAAAGGTTGTACATTTAGATTAACAATAAAGGCATTTTGACCGCAAGTTTACGCCACGTCAACGATATGAACAGTTTTACACAGCCATATTTTCAGCCGGTGATTTTAAATAGGGTAGGTAAACCCCAGGGTTATTGGATGTTGTAAATAAGTCGAGGGTGAGTCTGTTGGAAAATTTAGATTGAGATGCTCTTGGTATAAGTTGTATCTTTGACAAGCACGAACATAAGGCGCACTTTGCGTAGAAGCACTATAGTTATCTCACTGCTGATATGGTTCTAAGGAGGCGAGGCGATTAGATATGTTACATATCATGGCGGAGCAGACTGAGCGATAATAAAAGTCAGAAGATAAAATTCACACAGACCACTCACACTTAAATAAACTGTCGTAACCTAACCTAATTAATCAGTACGGTAATGAAGAATGGTGGGTTGTGATAGAAGAGAAGTTAGGGTAAGAAGCTGGATGCCTGTACATCGAAGCCGAAATTTGAAAAACCGAAAAAGAACTACTGGATGGAATACTAACAAACCAGTGTCGACACCAAATAAAGATATTTCGAACGATAAGAGAGGCGACGATGTCAAAGCGCTAAGGGTAGACATGTTTTGAGATCAGATCCACCTAATCGTCAACTGTCTCCGCCCGAAATCTTATTCCTTCATGTAGCCTCTCTTTAATTATCTGAAACCAAAGTTAACAGTCGCTAAATATAGATTGAGCAACTAATTAAAGCTGTGATCCCTCACAACTTCTACAACAGCATTTATAAAGGTTTATGGACAAGGATCTCGAATGCAACTTAATAGAATGCTCTAAAGAAAACCTTACTACTGCATTGACGTCTCAGAATCTCCAGCCTCAAATGGGGATAATTCTCTTGATTAACTCAGCCATAGAGAGGGGAGTTTACAATCCCTGTTACACTCTTTGCTACTTTTCGAAGTGTATTAGTCTCCCTCTCGCTTATCTGTGGTTTGGTCCGAAGCATTAGAAGCTAGCTATACCTCACCAATTTTCAAAAGAGCCAGATGCAGCCACTTCAAGCTAGCAGGCGTTTCCAAGTTTACTTACTTCAAAAGTAGTGGATTATTTTTGAGCTGGGAAAGCTTATGCGATTACAAACCATCTACAAATTTTTCAGCCCAACAATACGGTTTCAGGAAGTGCAACTCTTGTAATATCAATCTGCTGGCTGCTATCGTTACATAAAAAAACCAATTCCTTGAAATAGTTTGTCGGAGTCAATCAAAATCATACTCAAGTTATTGAGTTACTATAAGTAAATAAAACATGGTCATATATAAATAATTGACAGTTAAATACAGATGTAAATTCTACGTTTTCCCAGGCTAGAAACAGCTATATTTATTGACGACGTTAGCGAATAACAAAGGGCGAAATTTTAACACTCCTTGTAAGACTTGTTGCAAAGGACACGTAAAACGTATCTGATCCAGTTTCAAAGGAGTTTCCGTACGCTATCTCGGTAAAATTTTATGAAAGATCTTCTACTGTATGTGGCAAAAATATCTGAAAGGCGTTTTCTTACTGTTAAATTCGAAGCGCATTTTTTGACAATCTGATAGTACGAATTTCCGCCTAATTTTTGTTGGGATAGCCAATCGAGAAGAAAGCCACGCACATTGTGGATTGATGAACTATTTGATTAATGTTCATGATGATCTATTTGATTAATGTTCAAAATATTTTATTGACATTTATATAATTGTATAAATACGCATATTTGGTTGTATATTGTACACATAGTTTGGCATTAATACGTAGAAATTAGGGGTACGAATTAACTGAGTAGACTGATGGCGCAGCTACTCTTTACGATCAGTGGAAATCCTAGAAGTCGCTTCGAGTTCGGTAATCCAAACGACTTTTGAAAACTTTTTCAGAGGAATCATGATGCATACTTAATGAGTCAAGTTATTATTTCATTACAGTTCATCCGTTCAGCGTGAAAAATGTAAATAAAGTATTTACTGACTCGATTTTGAGAAGGAATTATTTTGATATTTTCAAACCAATATACAGAAATTTACAAAGTTGAGTTGAAGAACAGTGTGTATAATGGGGTGCATCTACCTATTATTAATAATAACTTATTCTCAGGAACCATAGTTTACACGAAGCCCATCGAAATACACGCAAGAAAAGATTGGTACCGATGTTGTGGTTTATTCTCCAGTAAATTGTATTACCTAGTTTGACTGAAGCGTCATAATAAACGTTTTGCCGACGACGCAGGATAACAGAATTATTAGTACATGACAACAGGATTTTTGAATTAGAGCTAAAATGTACTGCGTTAAAAGTGGCATTTCTTGTGATCTGAAGTATCTCATCTCAACGTTAGCTTACTACTCAGAGGTAGGCTATTGATGCGACAAACGATTTAAGTTCTTGTCGCTCAATTTCGATTTTCATCCTGCACGTTTTAAAGTTTCTCCTTGTTAGCATTGCGCGTAATGCATTCGATCATAGAAGTAGCAGCAACATCGTTTTGCGACGCAAATACAGTTATTTAACTCACGGAACTTAGTGCAACGGAACAGAAACCATGTTTCAAATTCACTGACAATATTTACAAGTGATTCAGGATTGTAAGTGGTCCAAAACGAAAACTTACAACTGTATGATGAGTCTGCGTTCGGAACTGACGAAGAGAATTTTATTCAATTAGACCAAAATACTTTTCTCTGTAGAGCATACAGTGTTTTTGAGTGACTCATTTTAAATCATATCAAAGGACAAACTCTGTGAACAATTTAGTTGGCTTTAATTTAGGAAAGAAAAAATATCTAAACCACAAAGTACCTCGGACATTATGCACTGTGCCCTTAAGTCAAAGGTTTCTGTATCATACTGAACAACAAAAGTGATGGCAGACAAATAAGTGTTCATACCTCAGAATCACGGAGCGTCTTCTGAACAAGATAGGATCTAAATTCTACCTACCAAGATTGAAGCAACCTGTTGTAGCAAGCCAACAAAGATCAACACTTATCAAGCGAACCATGCCATGTTCCTGAATTAAATATCAACTGAAAACTAACAATAAGCAACTGGAAAATTAAATGGTAAATACAAACATCGACCGAATTCAAAGGGGACTGATTCACATAAATCGTGGTTACAAGAGTAGTCAGTAAAAGTTACGAGGAATATGGCTCGACAGTACAGATAATGAGCAGTTCTTTCTGATATGACAATTCCTTTTTGTTTCATCTCTGAAGCACAGTTAATTAGTACACATGTAGGATCCAATGAAACTATCCAGGGACCAATATTCAAGCTCCAAAAGTTTATTGCTGAGTTACAAGCAATTAATCCAAATGTATCTTTCTGATTGTAATTAAAATAAACTACACTTCAGACCTTTAATTTTCAGGTCCACAGTGTAGAATTTCAAGGATGTGAAATAGAAAGAGTCAAAATAAAAACGAAAAAGGCGAAATTGTAAACGAACAAGTAAAAGGGTGAGGAAAATAGGCTAACGTAACACCAAATAAAAATAACGATGATCACAACAACTGTTGACAGTTTTATAATTTGAAACCCTCTTGTATACCTGTCTAATAAAAACTGCGGAGATTATTGATGTGCATTCTTTTCGTCAAAACTAACAATAACATTCTCAAACAATTTGTTTACATTTAAATGTCATGGAGAAACCATTCCAGGCTTCATAAGAAGGGCAGTTATACTAGGTAGATGAAGTCTACCTTTTCAGGTGCAATGTTTGTGGGCAGTGTAGCTACTATGTGTGTACATTTTGCTGTCTGTGAGTGTATTTCACAAACTGAAAACAAAACCAAAATCGAAAGAAAACGTAGAAGATAGATCTAAAAATATAACCAATTATTTAAACCATTTTGGGTAGCCTGGACTCAGCTATTGTACAGCTGGTTCAGAGGGCTTGGGAAAATGAAGATAATTTTTCGCGTTAACGTTTCTGAAATCTATATCTTCACTTCAGAGCATCATCTATGAAGAAAAAAAAACACTCTATAACAAATAATTGTGGTAGATTAATAAAAATATCTTAACTCAGTGAATAGTTCTCTACGTATAAGCAACGAGTCAACAGAACAAAAACAAATATATACAAAACCATGAGTCACTTCTACTGATTAGAATGATGTGTGTTTCCAGGTCCGAATATGTATTTGTTGTGGGACATAGATAGATTTACGCATGACTACGCACGCTGTATGCAGA